CGTGAAGAGCCGGTTGCCGCTTACGTTGACGTGTTTGAATCTGAGTACTTGAAGACCCACTGGAATCTTCATGACTTACCGTTATGAGTTGCCGTCTAAAAGTATCCGAATTTACCGGTTTAACTGTTTTCTCAGATGGTGAGTCATCTAAATACGTTACATGCAATATAGGTCCCCGTCAGGGCTGCCTCCTTAGTCCACAGATTTTCCACTACTATCTTTATTACTGATATATGTTTGCTGATTATATATCTTCGCTTGCTGATTGAACGGAACAGTATCCAATTTCTTACCTGGTGGTTTGAAGTGGGTTGGGATGTGCCAATCCTTTAAGGTACTGCAGAGTTATGTCCCTTAATGTGAACATTACTTTGAAACCTCTAAATTTGCAGAAGGTTTTCGCTTTAGAATATTTTTGCAGTTTCACAGGCAAAAATTTGAAAAACAACTAAGGTTATGGTGTTCCGAAATAGTGACCTCTTAAACATTATGAGCAATGGAAATTTAAGGGTATGGATATTGTAAGTGTGTCTGAATATAGATATTTGGGGTTTGTGCTCACACCTAAACTTAGTTGGACTAAAGCAATAACTACTCTTGCTGCACAGAGTAACAAGGCTATTATGACATTGTACAGATATCCAAAGATAATTGGAAATACCATGTCAAGATGTATTCAAAATATTTGATGCTATAATTGTTCTTATAGTGTGTGAACCCGAGCGGGTCCCGGTTAGAATTCGGGATCGGGTGGTCAGGCTCGCTGATTTGGTTGACACATGTCATCGTATCCAAATTGCGCAGATCGATGCTCATGCTGTTGATCACTGAATTGTCTGGTCCAGACTCGATTATTTACAGATCGCCGCCACAGAGGTGGAATATTGCTGAAAGTGCATCGTTAAACAACAAACCAACAAACCAAACTGACCATGCCTTTGTTTCGGCAATCCTGCGGACAGCAACACATTAATCATCTTCGACTTTGTTGGTGTTCATGTGGCAATAACGTTGACGATTATGCAACTTGTCACTACAATTTAATATTCACACAATATATGTCTAATCAATATAACTTCATACCTAATTTTGTTATGGAATCATATCCGTGACTATTACCTGGAATCCCCCTGTTTCCCGAAATGTATGCCAACAAAGACACAGGTTGGTTACACTAAGGCTGTGCAGTGAGTGTCAGAGCGAATAACGCTAAATGTCCTAACTATCGCTAAACTAAATAATTTTGAAGTTAGTTGTATCGACCTGCAATGTGATACACATCAACTTCATGTTTCGCCTACTTTATCGACGTTGCGATTACGTTTGCATCAAGTTCCTAACGTCAAACAAAACAAACGATCAAAAAGAATGAACGTGAACGCCAGAGAATAATTGTGTCCATTGTATAATCGACTGAGCATGAATAGTAAAATGGTGCTGAACATTTTATACACATTGATAGCAGCACCCCGTATATTTCAGAGTACCAATATGTTATTAATACCAAAAGCAACGGAACTTATCTTATCAACTTACTATCTGGATAAACTGACCCCCAAGGAATAATTAAATGATAAATCTAAATGCAAACATAACGAAAAACTGCAGTTTATACAGAGAAGCAAAAATGGCAACAATGACTCATGTTTTAGTGCTGATGCATTTAACGTCGTATGGCGTAAACGATGATTGAGTTTAAATTTACGCCACTTAGCAATATTCCAGCAATATCAGCCGCCGCGGTTGGCCAGAAGTGTCCAAATAATCACACAAAACAAATGTACTTATGATATGCATCGTTCCAATAACTTATGTGAAACGTTGAAACCCCATCCCATAAATAAGAGAATAAAATGGGTTTCAGCCTTAATAGGGTCCTGAGGCTAAACATTTATTATTAAGATTAACACATGTTGTGGAAGGTTTTATCAACATGTAATTTATATGGTATCTGTATCTTAGATTCGACAACAGACATCAAAGTGTGGTATGGTAATTCTGAACTGACACATGTCATATAGTCTAACATGATGTCTCTGGTCGTGTAACGTCTTGCCTCTAACGACAAACGTAGCTTGGTATTTGCCAGTGGACTGACACATGTGTAGTCATCTATGACCTGATGTTGGGATTGAAACGACTTCTGGAGACACTGGGAATCATTGCTGGTAATGTTATCATGGATAATCTTGCACTCCTCCGTGTTATATTTCCGAAAGATCTGTCCCCTCTTAGATGACACAGTTGCCCTAAGTTGAAAAGCATGTTCTCCATGCTGGTATGATGTCATTTGATGTATGGGTCATGTGACCCGCCCCAATAACCTCGCCGACGCAGCTCCCAGTATCTGCCTACTCATGATTCGTTAACAAACATTATTCAAGATTTTCGCTTTATGGTTAATTCTGTTGCCTTTGTATTTACAAATCAAAGTGGCGCTAAAACAAAGACGTTCGTGACAACACTCAACTAATGTCAGTAAATATTTGAAGGTTGTGGGCAAGTCATACCCAATCCCATGTCCAAATGCTTCACATGGGAAAATAAGGAGTCATGCTATGTTATGTTCAGGCCATGTGACACAACATTACGGTGCTATGGAGACGGGCATAATATAATGAGGAGCGCACATATCTTCACCGCAGTGCCTTTCTGTCCAGGCGTAGAAACGGTTAGCAGGCAAACATCCCCAATCATGCTGAAATTTGCCGTGATAGTTCTTCTTACAGGTAGGTTGATATACTTTTCAATTTAATTGATAACAAATTGTTTGATCAGCATTCTAGAAGCTGGTGAGTCAAAAATGAAACATACAACGTGTTGGATGAAAATTACAGTTGTATGCAATAAACAAGAAGTTGTCATCCATCAAGTTGTATGCTTCATTTCTACATTGAGAATTATGTCAGTCGATAGACGTCTATGATTTAGTTTAAATGTCACTAGTTTTTCTTCTAGGTAGGTTGTATGTTTTCGTAAATCGATATTAGATAAGAGAGTTTTATGGACGTCGACTTCTTTATTCTGAAGAACACAACGTTTGGGAGTATATCCACACGTTGTGTTCCTCATAATAAACGTATTATCGGCTTATTTTTGGATTTGAAAATTACACCAGACACGTAAAATGGCTATTGCGAATCATTGAGTAATAGTTGTAATATACTTTTAATTGAGCATCAAGTAAATAACGACACATTTAAACGTGTAGGGCTTAAACAATAAAACTTGGATGAAAAGAAGGGGGTAGCAATTGTTGTATTATTTGTAATTTGCCTCAGAATTATTTGCTGTGATTTGAAGGATAACATCCTTCATACACATTCGCAAAATGATAGTAAAATGGCGCCGACTAGAAGACTGAAAGTTGGAGTAAGTGAGTCAGTCCATACAGATGCATATTTTCGTTCACTTTTGACGATCCTCCGTTTTGCATCCCTTGTGGTGAAAGAATCACAGTCAAGCATGTCCTGCTTGCCTGCATTGATCTTTCCAGCACAAGGGATCAATATTTCAATGTCAAAACAGTTCAGGATCTTTTTAACCATGTCAATTATCATTTATTAGTTTTTTTAAAGGAAATAGAATCAATTTTGAACAATACCGTTTGTAAATAGAAAAATGGTATTTTATAAATGGTAGTATAAATTAGCAACTGCGATTGTTAGTGACGGTATCCGCAAGGAAGGTTGAAGTTTTTTACCGGAAAAAATATTATCCTCCTGAGAGGGTACTTGAGATTACGTCTTTCAAAGTGTATATATTTCTGCCACGTATTTGTATACGTAGAATATGTGTTTATTTTATCTTTGGCTAAATTTGTCATATTCGCCAATACCTGAAGGGACGATGTAAATCAAGGCAGGGTCCATGCAGGTAGCAAAAGTCCCGTAAGTCCCCATGGTCCCTTTTGTGGTGATCTACATCAGCTGTTGGCGACCATTAGCCTGTTTTTTCTATTGTATTGTCTTCGTAAGTAAAATTGTTTTAGATTTACTTGCTAGCTTTAAACACCATCTGTGATACTATAGTTATTTAACAGTCCTTTGATGGCTGGATTTTTAACAACGTGTATTTATTATATATGCACAACCTCGTCACCAAATGGCTGAAATATTACCGAGGTGACATTAAATTTTAACTCACTCACTCAATACAGACACGGATATCTGTATAAAGCTGAGGATCCTCCATTTTGCAACCCTTGTGATGAAAGAATCACGGTCAAGCATGTCATTCTTGACTGCACTGACTTTTTCAACACAAGGGATAAATATTTCAAATCACAAACTATGAAGGACCTGTTTTAAAATGTCAGTTCTCATTATCTTATTGGTTTTAAAAAATAGATTGATTTAATTAATAAATGTTGAGTCATATGTTTTGTAGATAGATGTTTTTGTAGTATTGGTGGTTCAAATTAGTAACTGAGATCGTTAACGAATGTATCCTGAAAGGTGATTACGGTATCGTATAACTATTGTCCTCCAGAGAGGTTACGTCAGTCCCAAAACATTCGAGGTATATTTAGTTCTGCCAAACATTTATTATTTTAAATAATGGCTGTCAATCCAGCTAGGGTTCATGCAGGTAGTAAAAACACTATAAATCTCCATGGTCCCTAGTATGGTGATCAACCTTCAGTTGCTGTCCAGAGATACTCAGCCCGTTTTTTATATTGTATTGTCCTGATTAATATCAAATTTTAGACAAAATGCTAGTTTCTATTCTTGTTTCTGTGGTATTCTTGTTGGTTTTACTGTCATTCGTCAACAGGGTTTTAAAAGTTTAACTGTATTTTTCATGCTTTTATAACTAGTTTTAGTCACGATATGGCTGAAATACTGACGATGTGACTATAAACGTAAACTCACTCACTCACTCAGTGTACAAACTGTTAAGGATCTTTTAATAATGTTAATTGCCATTTAATTATATATTCTTTAAAAGAAATATAATTGCTTGATAAATTTTAATCAACATGTTTTATAGACAGTTATATATTTTACGATTGGTAGTTTAAATTAGAAACTCAGATTGTTAGTGGCTCTGTCCCCAAAGGGGTTTAAAGTATTATACAATTATTGTCCTCCTGAGAAGATACGCAAGTCCCGAAACTTTTAGACCGACCCGAAATAATTTAGACCGACCATATGTTTAATCGCAGAATATGTGTGATTTTGATTTATGGCTAGATCTGTCTGCTGTCGCTAACATTTGAAGGGATGATGTAAATGCATATGGGGTCCACGCAGGTAGCAAACGTAATGTAAGTCCCCATGGTCCTTTGTATGGTGATCTACCTTCAGATGCTGGCGATCTATAACCAGTTTTCATATTGTATAGTTCATGAAAAGAAATAACATTTTAAAGATACATACTAGTTTTAAAGTCTTTTCTGTGGTATTCTAGTTGCACTGTCCTTTTTATAATGTAACTGAGTTTAGTGAATTTAAAAGGCGTGCTAGTCACGATATAACTGCAATATTGCCGATGTGACTAAAATCTTAACTCACTCACTCTTGAGGAACAAAATATTATTATTAGGTAATTATAAAGTAAAGGTTGTTTTAATTCGTATTGTGTGGCTTTTCCCATTATAAAATCTCACATAGGATAAGCGTTCGAATAGCCGCAGAGCATGTATATTTCATTGTGTGAATGGACTACCGGTAGAGCAGGTCAAACTTACCATGATATCATCACCCACGTGTCAGAGGTCCATTCCTATAATTTTCACATCTATTTTTACCCCACCCCACCCAACCCCCCTTCCCCGGCATATAATGCCTGTCTGTCCGTCCGTAATCATTTCGTGTCCGGAGCATAACTCTTAAGCCGTTCAATATTTGTCAACAACAATTGGTATATATATATACATGCCAAAAATCTGTAAATAGCAAAATTCATCACTTTTGGTATTGCTTGATATATATATATATACATGCCAAAATCTGTAAATAGCAAAATTCATCACTTTCGGTATTGTTTGATATATGTATATTATATATCAAGCAATACCGAAAGTGATGAATTTTGCTATTTACAGATTTTTGGCATGTATATTTTTCTGGATTTCCATCGAAACAATTTGAACTTAGTCTCAAAAAGGGGTGGATTTCGTTTCCGGAGCACAACTAAAAAAACACTCAATATATATCAATAACACTTAGCAGATATATGAGACAGGTCCCAAAGTGGTGACTTGTGCTATTTGCAGATTTTTGGCATTTATATTTTTCCTGGTTTCCAGGGAAACGATTCTGACTTAATCTCAAAATGGAGGGGTGGGCTTCGTTTCCAGAGCTTAACTCGAAAATCTTTCAATATCTTTCAACTCAACTTAGCAGATATATGAGACAGATCCCAAAGTGGTGCCTTTGGCTATTTACGGAGTTCTGGCACTTTTGTTTTCCTGGTTTCCATGGAAACGATTCTGACTTAATTTCAAAATGGAGGGGTTGTCTTCATTTCCGGAGCACAACTAGAAAACCGTTCAAAATCTTTCTACAAGACTTGGCAGATATATCAAACAGATCTTGAAGTGGTGCCTTTAGCTATTTGCAGATGTTTGTCAATTATATGTTTCATGATTTCCATGGAAACGATTTGGACGTAGTCGAAATATGTCAAGTTGACAAAGTCAAGTAACTGTCAGATGATTTGTTCTATCAAATGTGTGGGGCCGCGGGGATTTGTCATCTTCTGTACGCTGAAGAGAAACTGTTTTGAGACTCTTATTCTTTTGCACTGAGGTATATATACTTTTCCCCAAAACAACTTGACATGCTGTTTTGGCGTGTATTTACTGAGTGTATAAAACTGATTCAAACATGGCATCATTGCTCAATTACAGTAAAATCATCACTTTACAAGTTTCCAAAAAATGATTATCCAGAAAGTAACACCACAGAGGGCTATTAAAGCCACTTGGTCAGAGTAAGGTGTCAGTATCTGGTGTGACCACCATGAGCGTCGATAACAGCTTGGCAGCGGTGGCCCATAGGAAGAAAAAAGATACAGAATGCGGTCTTGAGGAATGTGTTGATACTCTTGCTGAAGTGCTGCGTGCAGTTCTTGTAATGAATGAAGTGGCGGATTACGCTGGCGCAAGCGTCGATCAAGAGAATCCCATAGATTTTCAATGAGGGACATATCGGGTGATCGAGAAGGCCATAGTAACACCTGAAAGTTGTTTTGCTGGAGGAAGTCCTCTCAAACACGTGCAACGTGAGGTCGAGCATTGTCATGCTGGGAAGATCCACCTTTGACGTTGATGTAGGGAACGACGTGACGTTGCAAAATTTCGTCTCTATAGCGAACCCCATCCAATGCACCTACCACGTGCACAAGAGTTGTCCGGCCATTATGATGGATACCTGTCCACACCATGACACCTCCACCACCAGATCTATCGACCTGCTGTACACAGCTATCCGCGTAACGTTCGTTCCGACGTCTGTATTCAAGTAAAGGTGCATCAGCAGGTCTGAGAAGAAAGCGAGAATCATCTGAATTCATCAATCATCGTCCAAAATTGCTGCAAAATCTCACTGGTTGTCTGCACCGTTTGGATTTGGGTTGTTATGAATGTTGCGGTCGTGGCGCATGAACGAAGATGTGTCAACCGGATGTAGCGATGCATTGGCGACGGTGGAAACTCAACGTCGACCTGACCTGGGTCTGTCATTGACACCCCTAGTACTGTTGTATCGGGTCCATAGGTTTGAGGTGGTCTGTCGAGACACGCTGGAGTGCCTTGCTACCTCATGCTGCGATGGCCCTTCCTGTAAACGGGACCGTTTACATTCTGAATGTTGAATATTGGGTTTACCCTACTCATACTTCAAACGTACTACCTGTCTGTTATTAAATAAAACTGCTTATTGCACACCAATATGCTATATGATAAATATCAAAGCCATTCTTGGGGTAGCAAACAGTGTCATCCTAACAATATATATTTTAACGTAATATTTATTTGTGTTTCGCTTTCGGGTGTTGTAAACTTGGCTTAGAAAATATTATTTCTTTGTGGATTGATCGTTTCAATTTTCTCTTTAGCCACTGTTGCTTTATTCCTCATCGAGCACTCCGAGGCTGCGTGTACGAATGGAGATCCCACCACCTGCAACAACCACGGGACTTGTGCCAGCACTGCATGCACCTGCACCGACGGCTACACCGGAAACACTTGTCAAACAGGTAGAGTTATGGGGTGTTCTTTCGGTTAGGATCACAACAGTGCTTGACTTTTTTTTTAAAGAACATTTTGATTAAAGAGTGTCTGTACACATGATTCCATGATAGAGAGAAGTCGAAATGTCGACAAGCACTTCATAATATCTATGTAATTGGTCTCATCAAACAATCACAGTTTATAAGCTTCTCTCACAATCTTCATTCCCTTGGCGGCCACGAATTACAGTAACCGAAAAAATTCATGTCAAGATATTAATGAATGTGTTTACTGAAAACAATTCTCTTAATCACTCTGACCATCCATGTTTAAGTGCGGGGTTTAAATCCTGCATCCAAAGTACAATTCCCAACTTAGCCTACACCACACCCACACACACATTTAAACACGCTTTCACAACCAAATATCTATCTGCCCTGCGCAACTCCCATACATAGCATTCCCAAAATGCCCATCAAAGAAGAAAAATATAAAGTGTACCTGCATAAATGTGTACGACCATTTATCCTAAATACACAAATGTATGTCAGAACAGCCTTGTACCCAGCATGTCCTCCTTGACTGTGTTGACTTTTCGATCATTTCAGTGTAAAAAAAATGTTAAGGATCTTTTAACAAATTTTAATTTTCATTTAACTATTGATTTAAAAAAGAAAGAATTGAGTTGTTTGAAAAACGTTGATATCATTTGTAGAAAGATGTATGTTATGCACATAATATCAAGATGTTCGCGAGAAGGTGAGCCTATCTGGCCCCTCCGGTGGCACACGTCATGAACTAATGCAAATCTAGTCAATTATTCAAAACACGAGAGTGTATGGTACAGCCGAAATACGGAACTGCATCGGACAATGTTTTTTGGCACAGAATATCGTCCACATGTCTAGCATGCAACGTTTTGAATGCTTTATTTAGGACTTCAATGTTTTAACCTTTTTCTAGCAACTTCATATGGCGCTCTTTGAAATGTTGATAAAACAGCATTGGCGATTGCAACCCCAAACGTTGTGAAATGTAAACACCATAAGCTGGAACTTTTGGAATAGTGCTGAACATAAGGGAAAGTTGAATATTGGAAATCTGAAGTCATCCCTCTTGTCATACAGCTTTGTATAGTGTTCGTCTGTCACTATATTTGTAACTATTATCCATAGATCTAATTATGAATCACACGAAGCGATATCAATGGTCTCCTTTATTTCAAGTTCAGGTGGGTAAATCAGCGGAAGGAAACTGGCTTTTTAATGTTGCCTCAACAATAACAGAGCACATATATCTGACGTTTAAGTTAAACGTCTTGGCCAAATTGATTTTGTTTTGATTTTGCCAACCTGACAAGAAGGTCTGTCGAATGCAAGAAGAATTAGATCCGCAAGGCGTGGAGCAAAATTGGGGATGCTTATTTTGCTGTCCTGATGTTTTACCCCCAAATTTCTGGTAAATACACTCTCTCAAAAAAGAAACGCAACCCCTGTTTTTTTTGGTAATGTTTATATCAATTTTAACTGGTTATTACATTTGTATTTTTAAAGATAATGCCATGAAATTTGACATGGTGAACCTTAGGTCAGCACGGTATAAGGTAACAGTTAATGCAGGTCAGTATCGAACTCTCAATTTACGCTAGGGGGCGTTGTCTTCAGTATTTCGTTGTAGAGCCACGATCTCTAATCACAGCAGTGCACCTCCTCGGAACAGAACGAATCAGACGGCGGATGTTTTCCTGGGGGATTGCTCTCCACTCTTCCTGGAGTGCTGCGGCCAGTTCAACCAACGTGTGCGGTTGTGGTGTACGTGCACGAACACGACGATCAGCTGGTCCCACAGATGTTCGATAGGATTGATGTCTGGCGATCTGGAGGGCCACGGCATCACGTTGACGTTGAATTCTGTAGGAATGCCACTGTTGCACGAGCTGTATGAGGGCGGGCATTGTCATGTTGAAACAACTCCCTCTGTTGGGCGATTATCGGCAGAAGATGTGGCTGTAAGACGTCATCAATGTACCGTTGTGCCGTCAAATTGCCACGAATGATGACCAAGTCTGACCGTTGGTTGTAAGACATGGCTCCCCATACCATGATGCTTCCTCCTCCAAATCTGTCGACCTGTCGAACGCAGTTCGGTGCAAAACGTTCATTTGCTCGTCTATAGACACGTTGTCTACCGTCACGTCGTTGAAGAAGAAAACGAGACTCGTCACTAAACCAGACTCTTCTCCAGTTTCTTAGGGTCCATCTCCTTACGTTAGTACACCACCTGAGACGTTGGCGTCGATGTTGGCGTTGGCCCGAAAACTGGTCTTCTTGCACGTAAATTTGCCTCATGTAAACGGTTCCTGATGGTTTGGGCCGATACTCTCCTCAAACCTGGCACCTGTGTTGCAGTGATGGTGGGTGTGGCATGCCGATTACGTAGGTGGCTGAGTCGAATAAAGCGATCCTGAGCCGGTGTGGTGATCCTAGGTCTACCGCTCCTGGGACGATCTTCAATTGCATGGAACTGTGTGTAACGATTCCAAAGTCGTGAGATTGTTGTTTTGTGTACGTTTAGATGACGGGCAACTGTTCCAAAGCTTTCCCCGGCCTCAATGCGACCAATGGCAATATTTCGATTTGCTGTACTCAAACGGGGCATTTTCGAACTTGATTTGCAGAGCAAATTATGAGAGAAAAATTACAAACTACGCGTGCTTTTTAAAACCCTCTACATGAACTGTGTTTTCAACAATTTGCACGTGCAACAGGCTTTTAGCATTTTGTACATGACAATTTCGCACTTTCTCAAATAACACGGATACAAAGGTCATCATGTATGAAAATGGTTCCGTTTGGGAGCTTATACTGATCAGATGGGAACGTATTAACAGTATTTTGAAGAAAATTCTAATTTACATTCACCATCTTTATTCTAGAAATGATGTCAGATATTTAGATAGGGGTTGCGTTTCTTTTTTGAGAGAGTGTATTATCAATGAGGAAATCCAGCGTTTTTTGGCATGTTTTCTCTGTAATCTTAAAAATTCACTTGCTTTCATGTTTGAAAACCCATTCACTTTAGATCAGATCAAAGGACATTGTAGATTACTTTTCATCATAATCGGGAATGTGGCTTTAAGGTTCATACTGTATAGTTACAGTATACACATATTTATTGTGCACATATGGAGAATGTTATGCTGTTACCTGTCGCACAGTCATCTCCACTGTATCAGCCTGTGCACACACATGGTGCGCTAGTGTCAGGACAGGCACCGTGTCTGTTTCATTTGGTTTGCAGTATTGACCTCTCTTATCACAGCCAGGATCATCACAGCTGAAATCACAAAACAGACCATTATACACCTGCATGAAGTTTCTACTAGCTATTAAAACCAGTTTTCAAGGCGCATGTTTTGATGAATCAGACAATACACATGGGGATGATACAGTTGTTATGTTTTATTAAGACATTATGAAAACTGTTAAGTTAAACAACGACCTTTTGCCGTCAAAAAACCTCTTGAATTGATCAAAGAGTTTGATTTACCACAGGGCTTAACGTTGTTTTCACTCTAAACATTTCGAACATCACTATCCTTGAAAATATCGCTTAGAATAGAACTAAATGAATAAAGTTACCTGTGCATACGAACAGAACAGCACGCTCCATGACTGTAGTGTTGTAAGCAGTCACACAACCAGCAGTCAGTGACGTAGAGGCGAGGTCTTCCGAAGTTTTAAATAAGGCTGGATAGCACTTGCC